GGTAACTCGACCCGTTTTTTCTAGAAATAGCTTTAATTTTCTGTGTTTCTCAAACATACGAGTAAAAACTCTACTGCTTAAAATTACGGGCTTATTTACTGAATGGCGTAAGTGTGCGTAGCAATAAGTCAAAAAAAAAATTCATCACTGAAAAACAGCCGGATCTGCAAGTTAGGCCTCTCTAAGAGTATTACTGACTTGTCGCATGAATACTTCTAGACGAACAAAAGTAGCTGCGAAAGTTACATGTTCCTGCGAGGGTACCAGATACCCGACGATGCCACGATGCTTACGACCGAGTGCGCGCATCCTCCTGTTCATGGATTCTCTGAAGAAGGTGATACTGGCCGAATACAATATTTGAGCCGCTGACGAACGGAATATAGAATGCACGATAAATCGGATGAGAATACGAAGAAAGCAGGAATTTTTTCCGCACCACAGATCGCCATACGTTCCTCTAGAAAGTGAAAACGATGTGAAATAGGATAGCAACGCGCACCAGACCAGCCGGTGCGATCATGCGTTTTGTGCAATTCAGCCCATCGAACGATTGCCTATTAATGATTTTCATTGCTTCACCTTAATCTATGCAAAAATACTTCAACAATTGGAAAATAGTTAAAAATTTCTCGCACCAGCGCATGAAAGCTGAATTCGAAACCTTGAAGGATGAATATCTTTCCGTGGTTTACGAGTTAACAGTTTAACCGCCAAAACTCTCACGAGGCCATAGGTGATACTCAACAGCAAAGAAACGCTGAATTTGAATAGGCAAAATTGAGCGTGGGAATGGGTCATTAGCCTAAAATTTCAGCCTCATAGACTCCGTGGTTCCTGAGATATTGATTTACCCGTAAAAAAATTTCACGGGGCCGTACTTGTTACCTGCGGGTACGGAAAGACTGAATTTGAATGGGCAAGGTTGAGCGTGGGCAGGGGGTCATTACCCTAAGATTTCAGGCCGTTTTGTAACGCTGTCACACAGCACAAAACGCATAAAAATAGTGGGGCTGGGTTAATTGTCATGTGGAAGAAGACATTTTACGATGCAGTCTCCGTTTCATCCCTTAGCTGTAAACATAGAACGAACTTCGAAAGAATGCTCTGCTCGTAATAAACAAAAAGCACAACATTGAGGGAGGCCAATTTTAGCGCACTACAACCGCAACGAAAACTGAAAACTAAGTAAGAAATCCTAATTGCGAGATATTACGATAAGCTACGATCGGATTACCTAATTTACTCCCAATTTTTTAGCCAAAAACTATTGCTGCTTCTAAGACAACCTACGGCTAGTAAACCAATGTATTCCTCACCTGCTCTGCGAAATTAGGCTCCAATTCTGTGGTATCCGGGGTCTCCAAATCAACCAGATAATCACACTGTTCGACGTCAACATACCTGAAACGATGGATTTGTACAGTGAACAAGCTGGAAAAAACACTTGAACATTTTGAGCAGCTATATGTCATCGACGTTCGTTGTCACGCCATTGATGCAACTGGCAACTTCTCCATTCTTCTCCATTCGTTGTTGTGCTCTCCGAGTCCACAAGATACCGAACAGGCGCACCATGGGGTCTCTTCACCTCGTTGGTAGCCTCCCCAGTCTTCGCTTGACCGTGCGCGGGTGCCATTCCATTATCCCCTTCGTCCATCTATTATCTGTCATCCGTGCCACATGACCAGCCCATCTCTTCTTGCTGGCGCACATTGCTTCAGTAATGTCTTTCACGCAAGATCTGGCTCGGAGCATTTCATTTGGTATGTGCTGCAGCCAGTTGGCGCCAACCATCTGTCGCTCCATTGCTCCTTCAGACACTGCTAAACACTAGAAATTTTTGGCGGGAAAATGGCTAATTCCGGAACCAGGGAAGCTGGGAGGCTGAAACTTTCAGGAAATGTTTCCAACTCATCTACAACTCACCTTCAACAGGCTCGAAAAATAAGAAATTGTACGCACCTGCTAACTTCTTCGCGATTCATATCATTCATTTCCGTTGGTATTGCGCGTGTAATTTGCGGTATCGATCCGACCGTATATGGTTTGGGTAGTAAGCCGGCAAATTCACTTTTGATGAATTTTAGTTCGGTTGTCCACAGTCGGCCCCCGTCACTTCTGCCACTGGACGGTAGGAAGAACGATGATGGAAAACGATACCATTCCTTGCCAATACATACATTTATTACTGTATCATTCTGCAACATCTTTACAGTTGAGTTTCGAAAAAAAAAAAAAAAATCCAAAATTTTCAATGCAAAACTTCAATTCTTCTGTTAATTTGGCATCTGACCCCATCCTCTGAACATTCAAAAATAAGATAAAAACAAAACTGCTTTTCGTGACAGCTTTTCAATCTTTACTTACCCGTGTGCCAGGTAACACGTAAAGCCCCGTAAAAGTTTTGGTGGAGAAAATTATTATCTCGGGAACTACAGAAGCTAGGAAGCTGAAATTTTATGTTTATGCACCCTGCCTACGTGCGACCCGGAAAATTCAAAATCATCTTTCAGTTAAGCTTGAGTCTCAGTTACGCCTCTGTGAAAGTTTCGGCGGGAAAAACTGCTATCTCCGAAGCCATAAAAGATAGGAAGCTGAAATTTTAAGAGAATGCTTACTCAGTGATACTCAAAATCAAAGCTTCCCTCATAAAAAAGTCATTCGGAAAATAAAAGAAACTTGCTCAGCAGTGAATGCCAGCACCAATCAGCCGAGCAGTAAGGTTTTTAGTGGTTCTTTCTTTCGAAAAGTTAATAAAAACACACGCTTACGGCAGCTACATTCACTGGCATGAGCTAGTACCAATTTTTCATCAAAAAAATTCAAAAACCGGTTAAGCGATTAGTTTTTTACTGGCGGAAATAAGGGCATGAAAGTAACGCACGTTGCCAGTACATCGGTAGATTTCGAGAGTAGCACATGAATTTGAACAAGTTGCTGCGGACACACACACACACAAACACACATACAGACAACCCCGTAAAAATCATATATTTTTAGGTTTAGTTTTCGAGTAAGTTTTCTTGTCTAATTTTTAAAAATTATTAAATCTCCCGGCGAAAAATTCGCTTATCCATCAAAACCATCACGCCCAAGGCTGAAGCAAAAGAGCAAAAAACTCACATTTCTTGTAAAATGCGAAATGTTGCGATTGGAAATGCTTGCCAAATGCTCATTTAATCCTTTGAAAACTTCCACAGGTGCCGAAAAATTTCGATAAAGTGCAGCGGAGCGTGAGACGGAAAGTACTGAGAAGATCAGCAGCCACATAGCTATGCAGCCTTGCCAGAAACTCCTCGATCCACCGCCCAGCAGATAAACACCGACGCTAAAAATACAGTGAGCGATCAGATATCAAGCCAACTGCCTTTATAATTTTTCAAATTTTGCGAAACTTACTTCAACAAATGCAGTTGAAAGGCGAAAAAAAAAAAATAAAAACGAGATCGGACAACTTCTTATTTTTACAACCTTCTGATGCGTTTTCTTCCTACACTCATTACAGCTTCATTATATGCTGGTTATTTTCAAATACTATTTTTTCACTTACAAAGATGCATGTAGATGAAAACTATATGCATCTGCCTGCGTATGTGTATGTGTATGTACATGTGTGTGTATGTGTGTGTGTTTGCGTGTGTGCTTCTACGTTGCCTGCGTGTGTGTTTCTACGTCCCTCACACAGTTTCAATCCGCCGATCAGGCAAGTTGGAAAGATAAAAATCTCAAAAATCAGTCCTCGGCCCTACAGTAATACAGTGCCCTAGTAATTTGCTTAAGCACTTTAAATCAAAAAAAACGATGAAAGTATGCATAAAAAAAAAGTATCTTCGCCCCTCAGACAACATCTGTGTGTGCGTGTGTGTGTGTGTGTGTGTGTATGTATGTGTGTCAAGGTTCAAAAAGAGACTCAATCAAAAGGACTTTAATTAAAGCACACTTAACGGTGTTACTAAGCATTCCGGTAACATCACTAACACAAAATATCAAAACTCATAGCTCCAGTGATCTTCATATCGGTATTAAGTTTACAAATGCAGTAGTATTCGTTATTTTTAATTTTCATTCCTCTTTTTATGTTATAATTTAAAGGACAATGTATTCAGTTAGCAATTAAGGTAGCCATCAATATGTTGAGGCCCGGAATATGGTTCATTCGGCTAGCAGACAACTTTTTCCTACAGCCAGCAAGCGACTCTTACACGATCAAGGGAGCACAAAACAACCGAATTTTTTTTCAAAAAAAAAATAAAAAAAAAAGATAAAAAAGGGGAATTAAGTCAAAATCAGCAGCAGAATATCCACCAAACGAAGTTATTTAGTCAAATGCAAAAAGATAAAATGTCAAATGACGAGAAAGTATGCTAAAATGAAACAGGGGGAGCTACCAGAGGATTACCAAAGCGGGTTTTTACAGTATGTAAATAATTACCGAGGCAATGCATCGAGAGTGACGGCAGCCAAAACAGCCAAAAGTGGGTAGATCGGGAAGAGAAAACGCTCCTCTTTGTGCGGTTGCCAAAAGAATATTGCCAGCCAAAGAGCCACAGTGAGGAAAATGAACAGTACCGGAAGATATCGTCGCCAATAGACAAAAGAAAAATCTGCAATTCTATTCTAGTAAAGCATTATTCCAGCCATAGTTCGAGTTATGCTTGCAACTTAACATAACTAATTTATATTTAAATTCAATTTATATCAATCACCGTTACCACAATCGTCGTACTAACGAGGTCCAGTTGTGGTAATGGTAAGAAATGTATACGACTTAATGGACCGAAACACCTCCTACAATTATGAAAACTTTACTAAAACAATTTTACCACTTTTACTAATTTCTTAATTAAATTTAAATTTGATTTATAACAATCACAGTTACCACAACCGTCGTACTAACGAGGTCCAGTTGTGGTAATGGTAAGAAATGTATACGACTTAATGGACCGAAACATTTCTTACCATTAAAATAATTCTATTAAAATGATTTTACCACTTTTACTAAATTCTTAATTTTAATTTTCTCTTCGATTCTCCTTCCTATTTCAATATATTTTTCTATTATGCTTGGAAAAACAAAAAAAAAAAAAAAACCAAAAAATGGAACCTCGCGCGACTGGATGCGCCAACTTGGGCGATGAACGAGTCCATACATAGGCCAGTCCTGCGACCGGTACTGAGAACGGGGCAAGCAACGCCACAACATTCCAATTCAGCAGTAAATTTTTAACGTAATATTTCACGTCTTCTATACCGTACAGGTTCGGGCCGTGTGATGAGAAGACATTATACAGAACAATATTCAATGGTGCCTGAAAATACTCCAAAGAATCCCCGTAGAAATTAGACATAAAAAAACGGAGATTTGGAAAAAATGTAATTTGCCTACAACTCATTTTTTTTTCAAAACCATAAAAATTAAGGAGGAATCGTTTCAAAGCGCTGTAGAAATTTTAGAAATATAAACAATGAATATCTCTGGCCAAGAAACTGGAAGAGGATGAGGGCCTGAAGTCGTCCATGTGTTAACATATGCAGTTTCTTTGGCGCTGCTGGCCCATCACCGTGGAGAGGAACACAATCGAATTTTGATAATTAATGAAAACACCCCCCAAGCTGCGCTTGGTACTCACGTAATGGCGTATGAAAATTTCTACGGGTAAATTACTAACTCCAGAACCAGAAAAGCCACAAAGCTGAAATTTTAGGGGAATGTTCCCTGTCCAGGTACAAATTAAGCACCCTATAAAGCCCTTCATCGCCATCGACAAAAAACTCCAGTAATTCCCCTTGATAAGCCCGCCATATATATATGTACATTAATTATCTCATAAGCTTACCAGAACTGTTTTTCCGAAATAATATGAGTCCACGAAAATCAGTGCGGCAATCAGGGTCGTACCAGACAGAAGCGCATAGTTGAAAAAGGTGGCGGCTAATTCACGCGTACGAATCAATAGCATCTCAAGTACAATTGGTAGGCCAAGTACTGCTGTGAATGGCCAACTAACAAGAGCACTTAGAGCCGTCAGTGAAATTGCTAGAAACCTGTAACTACTAAAAATAATAAAATAATATTAAGCAGTACGCGAACAAATATGTAATGGACAGGTAAGATTTTAGAATTTATAATTTTATAATTTTACAACTTTTTTATTTCTTCTATTTCTTCTATTTGCTTACTTTCGGTCTTCCATTTCTTTCATTTCTTCTGTTTTTCATTTCTTTTATCTTAACTTCTATACCGCACTAAATTATTTTGTTACCACAATCGTCGTAGTGACGAGGTCCAATTGTGGTAACGGTAAGAAATGTATACGACTTAATGGACCGAAAAATTTCTTACCTATTACAAATATTTCCTCAGTCTCCTTTCCCATCTTACCACCCTTTTCTTCGTTTTCTTTATTTTCTTTCCTTCTTGATATTTCCTCTTCAACTTTTAATGTGAAAATTTTGGAAAAATATGGAAAAAAAATCAAAGAAAAAAGTCGGTATCTAAATCAAAACTATCTTATGAGAGTCTAAAATTTCCGAAGCTTCCCGAAATTTCTGCATATTCAACTTTTAAAAAAAACTTTGGCGCCCTACCGGGTAATACCCTTAGTTATGGGGCCGCTGTTCCTGCCCTCTGTTCTTTTCCTTACAGGGCCCTTTTGGCCCGTACTGGCTTTTGTAGTGATTTTAGTTATACTTCCTCCAACAACCGGTTCTCGCTGTAGATATGTACATGAGATAGAAAACTGCCTACAGGGTGAAACAAACCCGCTACAATTAGCACTCCTCTCCTTCTACTCATGCCAAAGTGAAAAGACAAATTGTAGCCGTAAGAAGGCCGCATCGCACCCTCAAAAGAAGTGGACGGTCCAAAGAAATCAAAATGTGGAACGGCCGTCAGAGTCAGAAAGTTAAAACGAAGGGTGGGATAAGTCTGTTAAAATAATTTGCAGCCGCTGGCAGGCCGAACCGTAATCTACGAAACAAGCGGGCGGTCCGAAACATGAAAAATGCGGATCGGCCACAGCCTGAAAATTTTAACCTAAGATGAGGTTAGTTTAATAAGTTATGATGGAAAAGATAGTAGGGCTGTGAAGTTGTGAAACAGAAGTTCAGATCAGCACAGTGGTATTCGGAAATATACAGTAACTAGTGAAAACCAGAAAGCTGTATAAACAGAAATATACAAAATTAGAACGTAACAGTATCCAAAAACATGAAACGAAAGCTGAACTCAAAAAAGGATTTAGGTATGTATTACAGCTCTCCCACATAGGCTCATATCGAAATTGCCCCCCCC